AATTGAAATAATAATATTCATCAGTTTTGAAGAAATTCTGTATTTTTTTAAAAGAAACAATAGTATTTGTATTGATTTATTTAGATGATAACACATGATTTAATCTTGTTATTAGATTTGATATTATTGATTGATTAGTATTACTTATTCAATGAATGAACTTTTCTAGAAAATCATTACAACATTGATTGGATAGTAAATTCAATTAAAATTTGTTATGAAATCTATGATGAGTATGTTAGATATAATTTAATCATGATGATTTATATAATAATTTAAAATGATTTGTAAATCAATAAGAAGAATATAACATTCATTAATATTTAATAATGATGAAATTTGATTTCAATAATGATTTGATAGAAAGAAATATAAAGTTGTTATTCATAATACATTTAATGATGATTAAATCAAAAGTAATTGAATAAATACAAAATAATCAATAATTCTTATATGTATTAATTTTAATTGTTTATTTAAATATTCGTTGATTATTTTAAATATCAAATCAGTAAATATTGATGTATTTCATTATTTATTCTTTATTATATTTATTTTTGATTGTATTTTATTATTAAAAATTGTTTATATATTGTTCTTATATTTATTTTATTTCAATGATAATAAACACAATATTAATGGATAATTTATAATATGATATAATTTAGTTTTATTAATTGATAATTTATCATTGATTTAATATTAATTTAATGATTTAATTATTACTGAATAATATAGTTATTTATATATTCATTTAACATGTTTATTATCTATTCTATTATTTAGATTTAGTATAATTGAAATTAGATATTCATCATATTCATTCTTTATTTGATTTCACATTTTTATTAATATCTCATGTTATTATTTTATTAAACATCTTGTTGATGTTAGAAAATTGATGTGATTGTTTAGAGTATTTAATACAAGAAATGATAATAGAGAGAAGTTGAAATGATAATAAATAATAAAATCAATAAAGAATGATATAATTCATAACATTAATAATTTAATTGAATAAATTAGAAATATAAAGAGAAGAATTGATAATAAAACTAATATTTGTGATATTAGATATTTAAATAAATTAATTAATAGATTAACTGATTTTATGAAAGTTAATAATGATGATAATGAAACAATTATAATATGGATTCAATAATATCAATATCATTGAAATAATTAAATTAAAACAAGTGTATTTGAAATATTATAATCAAAATTAATAATAATAAGAAATGAATAAATAGATACTACAAATATCATTAATACAAACAATAAGAAAATAATGAAGAAAGAAGATAATAATCAAGTATTCAAATACTTAAATCAAATTGTTATTATGAAGAGAATATAAAATAAAAATGAGATGTTAAAATAAAATAAAAGTATAAAAATTAATAAATCAAACAGAAAAGAGAGAAAATGATAAGATAATAGATGAAGAAATGAAGTGATAAAGAAAATAATAACAAAAATAAAGAAATTTAACAACAAATAAGAAAATAAATAAAATAAAATAATAATATAAATAAAAATAAATTATTATTTTATTTTTATTAAATATTATATTATTATTATTATATTTAACTATTTCATTATTAATTTCATTATAATTTATTATTAAATTTAAACTATTTCATTATGATATTTAATTTTATTATTATTTCTTTATATTCTATATCTTTCATTCATATCACATTACTATATCATTAATTATATAATAATGATATACACCCTCTTTTTTTTGGCTATTTGTACAATGTATTTTGATGAAAGGTATTAATTTATGAAGAATAATGAAGCCCTTGTTAAATTCTATTATACGTTAAATAAAAGTAAGTGTTGGTCTCTGGTTTTATGTCAATTCTATAATGATTCAAAAAGTACTGAAAAACAAAAATAACTACTAACCAGTGTTGTATTATTATTGTTGATTATCTAATTACTTTTTTATATAAAAAAGTATATAACATTATTAATAAAAAATTCTTTTTTATTAATTTAACAAAAAATTAAAAAGAAACTTAAAAATGAATTAACATAATCGATGTTGGTGTTTCTTTTTTTTATTGAAACCATTGGATTTAATTGTCAGGTAATTTCTTCGGTTCCATTTTATTTAAAAGAAAAAACTGTAGGAAGTAAATGTTTTCAAATCAAAGAATCTCCAATATTAGTTATTGCAAAAAACTCATGTATTTATTTTCGGGATAGTTGCCACTCAGTTATTACCATACACAGAGATGGTGATTATGAAAATTTTTCTTGGTACCATAGAAATGATTCATTCTTAATCATTCAACGCCCAACAGATAATTCATACGTAACACCTCTATCAATTAGTAAGACACATTCGTCTAATCCACTTACTCAATTTAACGGATTATATGGTACTTTTTATAAGATAAAACAGAACGGAGTTATTAGAGTTATTGGAGTTTCTTTTATACCATCTGATTCAGTAAGAAAACCAGCAACTATTATTACATTTCAAAACCACTTTGATATTGATGAAATTCAAGTTGGAGAAGTTGTTTTAACTATTAACAAAGAGGCGACTGTATTTGTTGGGTACAATAAAAGTGAAAGTGTTATTGGAGTTTATACTAAAAGTGAAACAGTTATTGGTGGAGACTCCTGTAAAAATGCTACAGAAATAGAATTTCCTACAAGCATTGTTGATTATAAAAGAAACTTTGGAAAGAATGAAGTATGGTATAAATTTAATGGAATAGAAGGAAGAAATATTACTGTTGATACTTGTGCAAATGAAAGTCAATTTGATACATCAATAAAAATATTTGATTCATGTAAAGAAGAGTTGATTGGTTCTAATGATAATGCTTGTGGTGCACAGTCTAAGATTACTTTTTTATCAAAGAATACTGATTATTTTATAGTAATTAGTCATGGAATTAATGCTACTGATTTTGATGGTACATTTAGATTAAACATATATGATAATCTCCCTCTTATTAATAGTCGTATTGACCAAGCTATTCCAATTCAACCATTCCAAGTTATAAGAACAAATAATATTCTACCTGATGATAGTAACAAACAGAGAAGTATTTATTTTACTTATTTACCATTAGAAAATGGAAACCTATTAATTAATAGTTGTGATAAAATTACTAATGTTGGAAATGATTTCATAGTATATTCTAATGGGTCTTCAACACTTTTAAATAAAACTGATAACACAAATGTGTGTGGTGAGTTTGGTAAATACCTTCAACTTCATGTTTCTTCATCAGAGCCTATTATTATTGAAATGAAAACAACTGGAGATGGCTATGTTCATATTGAAGTAACATTCCAACAAGATGGAATAAGTTATGATATAGAATATTTGGTTAAATGGGGATTGACGGTTTGTGTTATTATCCTTGTTGTATTGATAAGGCATTATAATTGCTATGAAAATAAAATCAAATATGATATGTAATTCAACCTTTTTTCTGTTTTTATGATATTTAAAACAAATTAAAATTGATTTTCTAAAATTAGTTTAGACTTTACTCAATCAAGAATTCAATTATTAATCAGTTTATCTCTTATAAAACGAATAGTCCCATTGTATTATCTTCACTTCCAGTAACAATTAATTTTTTGTCCCAATTAACTTCAGCACAAATAATACCATCTTGATGTCCACCCATTTCTTTAATACAATTTTTAGTTCTTAAATCCCACAATTTAATTCTTGAATCCATACCAAATGATGCTAGAACATATTGTCCTTGAAGTGGTGATATTTTGGTTACACTAAAATGATCTTCTGAATGTATAAATTCATGAACAATTTGTCCATTATCCATATCGTACATTCTAACTATACCA